AATGTGGTAATGAATAAAACCTTGAAAGTAAAGTTTTCTGGTAACTGAATATTTTCCTTTCCTTTCCTATTTGTGCTTATGTGAATTGTAAAGCACAAGTGTAGGCTGAGAAATTCATTTGACAGCAAGATTTTCAATTTTGGTGAAGCCCATAGAGCTATCTTTTAAGTTATTTTTCCTGCAAGTTTTTGTAGTGCTAAATTCTATTTAAATGATCTTGTGATTTACAGCCCTACAGACTGTTCTATTATTGTTTGTAAACATAAAGGGCACATGTGTTTTCATAACAATGATTGAAAGTGCTTGCTGCTCTTCTAGCATGACAGTGTAGGTTTGGGTCTGCATCGAAATATGTTCATTGATGTGTCATTTCTTAATGATTTTACTGTTTCAGAGGAGAAAGGGTTGTGGCAAGGTAATATTTTAGTTACCTTCATACAAATTATATTAAGATGTTTACTTGGTTTTGTGTATTGCTTAATGGAGTTTTTTATTATTTTTTTCTCTGTTTACAACATGTCATATTAGGGCAATATTTTCATGGAGTTTTGGTCAAAGTCAAAAAAGTACTTACAAAGCTCTTATTATATTTCAGTTTCTCATCTTTCCTTCAGAAATAACTTTATAAGCCTAAGTTTCATTTCAAGTCAATGAATCACACATTCCTGTGTGCTGCAGCCCTTACAAAACAGGCTTTAAGACATTTTGTGCTTCATTCTTTAAGGAATGTTACCCAGTGTGCTTTAAAGGCTGGGATGTGAGAGGGGGAAGAGTCCGAATGGTCGTGCCTTCTGAAGCTAAATTCGCCTTTGTAGGGAAACTGTATGTGTGTGCAAGGGAAGGAATAGATTGGATTCTATTTTTTATTACAGGGAGTGGCTGGGTGCAAGTTGGACTTTTTAGGGAGGTTTTGTTGTAATTATTTATGGAATGAAAAAGAAGCATAAAATCTAAGACTAAGACCAGGTAATTGTTACAGCCCGTGCCATTCAAAGAGATTGACTGGGGAGAAAACCCTAAATAAGTCCTCAGGAATATTTCTAAGAGGAAATAAGAGACAAAGGAGATGAGTTACATTCATGGCTTGTTTTTTTCCATTCTTAAGTGTGTTCTCTTGGCTTGTCTGAGACAGCTCTAAATTTAGAAAACACATCAAACCCCAGCCTTCTGAAGGAGCCCGCAGGCGTGTGGAGGCGCCTGTGTGGAAGTTGTTGTGTTGTTTCAGCAGGCAGGGAGGGCTGCAGCCCTTGTGCTGGCAGCTGGAAGTCTGCCACTCCGCTTCGTTGTTCACTGCCTTTGCTGCATAAGGCAGAGGAGACAGCCACCAACGTGACTGTCAGTGTTAAAAAGTAATTACTCACTAATCTCAGCTTCAAATCTTGCCACCCTTGCACTCCCCAGTCCAAATACCAAGGCCACAAATACCAGCACCAAGGCTACTTGTTTCCCCTTGCCATTCTGCAGTTTCCTCCTTGCTCTGACAAGACTCCCTTTGGTGAAAACCAAGGGGTTAATCACAGTGAAGAAAAAAGGAGATGGTGTTTGCTTTCTCTGTGGCTGCTAAACACCCACTTGCCCAGGACATATGCCCCTGTCAGTGTTCAGTCTGTGGGTGTCAGTGTCTCCTGCTCAGGGTGTTTATCTGTCATTGGAATATTTTAGTGTAATAAAATTATTTTCTACATCTTCTCTCTTTTTTTCTTTTTGTTTCTTTTATCTCTGACCTGAAGGAAATAACCTGATATTACCCAGATTTCCCCTAGTTTGTACCTGTCAGAAGTCTTCACAAATTTTCAGTTAGGTGCTTTGTGGAATCCTGTGCAGGGTTTCTATTTCCCAGGAGGGCTTGGTTTCTGGACAAAGCTCAAGAAAACTCTTTGGACTAAGGTGGAGAAACATTCTTTACCTAGGTGTGTCTTCCTGAGTGATGAGTAATGGGATGGCTTGGTCCACATTCCTATTCCCTAATGCCTCTGATTGTTACCACTGCTTTACCCTTGCCAGTCAAGTGGTTTATAGGCAGGACTCTCCCCTTGTCCACAGGGCTCCCTGCACCAGAGTGGGTTTCTTTGACTTGCCTTCCTTTTGGCTCTTTACAAGCTTTTAACAGACTGGTCCGTTTGTTAAAAGTGGTTTGGTGTGCTGAGATTTGTCAGAAACTCAATTGTTTTCTGCCAAAAAACCTGTCTACCTTCCATTACCAGAGAACAGCTTGCTTGCTCCTAAGAGTTTACTTCTTTGTCATTGGAATATTGTGGACAAAGATATTGCAGGATATGTCTAAACATAACTTTGCTTTCCTGATTGAAAACTTACCACTCTGGTTAGCTGCACTGAGGAGATTGAAATGAACCTGGTAGTGTTTGTCTTGGTCTTTTGTTAATAGCAAAATTTTATGGAGCATTTAATTCAGCATCTGAGAGGTTGATGATGTTGTTAATATCAGAGTTTGAGGGAATTTTAAATGCAGTTGCATGTAGCTAATTCTGTTTCCCTATTGAATAACATCTGTGTGAAGTGGAAGTACACTGATTAAGTGTTTTGGTATTGTTTGTTGTCTGAACCACATCTGTGTTTTCTTCTGCTGATGTTTTGTTGGAATTGAAATTATGAACATCGTTTTGGCAATACTGGGCATTTTTAACTAAGTAGTCAATAAATTTTGGCTTTATTACCATAAATTAATTCAATGGTAATATATCCTTGCTCATGAGGAAGAAGCATACACTTAGTTACACTGTGTTTTAAACAAAATACTTGAATGGTGAACTCTAGAAATGTGGCCAGCCAGCTGCCCTGTGATGTGCCTGCAGAGTTTCTATTTAGAAGATGCTGTATGCAGTCATCATCTCAAATATGTTCCTTAGCAGTCTCTTGGATGAGACAAGAATACACACACACACACAAAAAAAAGGCATTCTGAAAAAGGGCATGTTATGAGCCCATCATGGAGGAGAGCTAAAGTGTTTGGTCTAATGCTGTGCAAGACAACTGCCAGAGGTATCTTAGAGGGGAAAATAAGTTTTTTTACTCAAAACTGACTGTGGTAACTCATGAGGGTGAACATCCTAAACAAAGTTGTGCTACTGCTTATATATCCTGAGCCTAGCTGATAGGGTTCCTGTGTTAAACCTGTAAGCCAAACACACTTGTAGCTGCTTAAAAAGCTGAAATTCTAATGTTCTTCCCTACTACTCTATGTCAACTGAGTTGATTGTCTTCACTTACCCTGGTGAAAGCCCCACACTGCTTACCCTGCCAGGAGAGCTACTCGTGCATTCTCAGCTTTTGGGGACCCTGATGCATGTTGGAATTCCCCCAGCAATGCCATTGCCCTTTCCAGGGATGCTGCTACAACCATTCCTGGGACACTTCACGGGTGTTTTATGGTTCCAGTGCCCCCTGTGTACCCCCAGCTTTTGTGTGGTGCTGATGACAGTGAGGGCAGGGATGGCTCTGGGGCTGGGTGAGGCTTCCCCAGCCCTGCTGTTTGAACTGCTGGGCACCAAATGCAGTCTGGGCTTTGCATCAAAATCATGGCATGGAAACTGCATGGGGAAATCCTGCCTGTGCTGATTGTGTTGTGCCTTCCCTACTTAAATGCTAAGTACAATGTGTAAAACAGTGATCTGGTACCTGTGCTTTAGGGAATAAATGGTTGGTTTTATGTCTAGGGTGCATTGTGAGTTTAATTAAAGAGGAATCGTTCCTTCATTCCCACAGGACTGTGTGGAGAAGAAGTCCTGCTGCATCAGTGATTAGTGGAAAATAAAACTGAGGCTTTGTTGTTTCAGTTTGTTTGTTGGGGTTTTTCTCCCTTAGTGGTAATCTCCCATTTATTCCAATCTGAAAAGTATCAAATAGTTGCATGGAAATTTGGGTATGAGTGCCTTAATTAATATTGAACTTACTTGCAAAAGAGGGGTAAGCACCACAAGAAGCATTCGTGAGCTGCATAAAGTGTCTTAAATAAATTTATCATCTTAGTGCTGACATTTGAAACACTGGCTAAGTTTTGTTTTTACTCAAAGCAAAAGTACTGTTCCAGTTGATTTTAAAAATCATCTGATAGCAAAGTCTTTTTATTTTGTTTTTTTTTTACTGTCCCTTTTTTATTTTTCTTTGACTGGACTGCTTGGAGAGCAGAGAAAAAGAAACTTTTTGTGATGAAAAGTGAACTGGTGACACTTCTGCTTGGTAGATCTGAACAGAATGAAAAGTTATAATGGGAATATCTTTACATGTGTTTGCAAAAGTAAAAGCTCTGTACTGCAGTATAGGATGGTGTGGAATAGTTTTGGGTGTGGTGGATTTTATTGGGTTTTTTATGTTGGTAAATAATAAAATTCAAAAATAGTGCTGTGAGTCAAAAATGAAATAATTTAAGAGTGGATCCATGTTTTTAAGGGAAGAAAATACAGAAATTACTGTACAAATGGAGGAAATTGGAAGAAAATGCCTTCTATCAGTAGCACTGATAGAAGACAATTTTATCAGTATTGAGTCCCTGAGTGAAGAAGACTCTATATGTTGTGATTTTTATTTTTTCCCCCTAGTGTCAAGCCCATGTGAAGACGAAAGCCTAGCTTGAAATAATCTGACAGCCTAAATGGCACAAAACAGGGCAGTGCAAATGTGAACTGAGTGTTTTTATGGAGTCTTGTAGCCAGCATTCATTTTAAAGCTTTCTTTCCAACCTATTTGTGTGTAGTATTTGCCTTCATGTATATGTATAATGCCACCTGCTCTGTGCCTCTGAAATCTTTGGGAGAACAGCTTAAAGGAACATTAAAATGTCTTTCTGTATGAAGCACCTCTGGGTGTTTTGAACATAGATCTTCTCAATGCTGAAATTTCTTCCTCAGCCAAGCACATCCATGCTTTCTCAGAATTATTTCAGAATTCTTAAGGTCATTTGCAGTGTCTTTAATATGAAGATAGATAGAACTTCAACTAATAATAATGGATTTTTCTGTTTTCTTATGTGTGTTGTTCTCCAGATTAAAGTGGGGAGGAGAAAACCAAACCCAGAAGCATCACTGACCGGGTAGATTTTTCAATATGAATCGTGCTTTTAGCAGGAAGAAAGGTAGGTAATTTAGCTTATATTTCATGGAGACATAAATGCCCTGTAAAACTTTGGAGTATTAAGAATTATACAAAGAAAAACTTAATCATTGCACTGAATTATTTAGATGAAAATGAGCAGCCTTCTAGAAGACGTATGGAGCAAAGCATTCTTGATTGGTACTTCCAGAGCTTTCTGCATTCCAAGGCTGAAGTTGAATTTCATATATCTTTTATTGCAGGATATTTTTACACCCACACATATAAATGCATAAACATAAAATATACATTCTGTTATCTTTTTTTTGCCTGCACACTCCAAAGAGGCGCTGGAGGGTTTTAGAACTTCTAAGAATCAGTGACTTTTCTTTATATATATTCATTGGATTCTTGTTCTTGGAGAAGCTATTATTTTTTTTCAAACTGTGTTTAATGTATTTGAAATATCTCATGCAGCAGGATATTTTTAGCTGTAAGAAACTATTCTGGATTTGTAGCAATCTGAAATGGCATGCTTTCCAAAAGAATATCAAAGCACTAAATATTCAGAGTTATATATGTTGCTCCTCTGGCTCACTTAGTCTCTTTTCATGAACTGCTTATGATTAAACATAAGTCTTTAGAAGGAGCATTAGGGGTGAAGCCTTTTTTACTGACAGCTTTGTTGATATTTCCCCCATTTGTTTGTAAGGTAGGAAATACTCAGTAGGTCTCATTTATTTATTTTCCATGTTTTCTTCTAAAGGTCCTTAAGTGTGGCACACACTGAGATGGAGCCCTTGCATGAATAAGTAGGTGTAACTTCAGTTGGACTGAGTGTAAATATTTTTTTTTATATAGCAGGACTTTCTGCCAATATCAAACTGGAAATAAAAGAAATATTCTTACTTAGGCCAATATAAAATGCCAGCATCACTGCATCCCTGTGTCCAGTGCATTTGTTTGTTAAAGCCAGGTGAATCAAGGTGAGAGAAGCAGTCCAGAATATCAGCATGTGACCACAAAAGGAAGATACACTTACAAAGGCTGCAAAATAGGATGTAAGATCTTTTAATACCCTGACAGCAGGAGGAAATAAGCTTAAATCCATAGCCTGTGCTCTCCTTAAGCACTGATGTGTTTCCTTTTGTAGGTAATTGTAACATTGCTATCAACAGATAGCACCTTTCAGGTGCTCGATAGTGTTGCCAAGATTCTTCCAGATCATTTGAGAAACCATTTAGTTATTCTTTAATTGAGGATTGATTTATCAAACCTGAGAAAGAAACCTGGGGTTTGTAGATTGTTTTGTATAGGAGATTGTGTTATTATTTTCCTTCTTTTTTTCCTAATGATTTCTGATAACGTTTGAAGCTCAGCCTGCCAAGTTTCAGAAACAGACCAGCTGTGTCTTACTGGTTATTTTCTCAGAGTTTGGACTTGGACCCAAATGCTAAAATGCTGTGTCACTATTTCATATTGCCCTTGGCAGTTTCTGCATCTTACCTTTACAGTCAGGTGTGAAGTTGAATCCTCAGTTTCCTGGGGTTATTTGAGGGGTCTCAATTAACTTCTCTCTGTTTTCATTTCTTCATAAAAAAATTCTTACTAATTTCTTAGTAAGTCCTTATCTAAATGTTTGGGATTTCATTGTATTCAAAGACATTTACTTTGTTGTTCAATTGATTTCATGTGTTGTTTTCTTTACCCCAACAAGAAAAAAGTATCATATAAAAGCTGTCAGGCACAATGAAATGCAATTAGTGTGGATTCCTAATAATGATTCAGAACATGAGGAGACAAAGGAGTTCAACACTGTCATCTGTTTATTTTACACAAAGTAACACTCGTGACATTTCCATTCTTATACCCTAGGAAAAAAAAAAGTTTCAGTGAAGTAATTGTCAAGAATAAGTGAAAATTACATATTTTAAATTACATATTTTTAATGCAAATTAAAGTTCAGAAGTCGGCTCAATCAGTGTTCATGCATAATAACTGCATTTAAAAACAGTTTCAATTGCTGAATTTTCTATATAGTATTTGATTTTTCCCCCCAGATCTCATAGATATAGTTATTTCCATTCTTGATGGGTTTTTTATGGATTTCTTCTCTCCAAAAGAGTGTGGCTAGTTTGAGACATTAACAGTGTGACTGCTGTGGCTTCCCAAGCAGTTCTTGCTAAACCCAAACCAGTTTCCAGCTGGCTGTGCTGCTAAGGTTTGCGTGAATTCCAAGTTTGCAGTGCTCTGTTACCTTGAAGCTACGAAAACAATAGCCTGAAATCCATAGTATTGTGAGGGGAATTTAAGCAGATGTAGGTGATTCTTGGATAATAGCCAGAGATTATATCTGAGTTGGGCAGATGTACAGAATAAACGTTCCCTAATGTTCTCTGTGACAATCAGGGTGCACAGAGAGAAGGTAGTTGCTGGTGCCATGGCTCCCATCTTTTTGAGCTGGGCAAACTGGGTGCTGGAATGGCTGGGACTGTGCTGTTCCTGCTGATGAACTCTCTTCTCATTCCATCACCTGATCCCAGCACCAGAATTTTTCCTCTAAATGTTCAAGAAATTATTTAATGTACAGACATTGGTAGACAAAGCAAGAAAAGAAGCACTAAAAGCAAGCTTTCTTTTATTTTTCCCTCTTTATATTCTGTTGGAGACTGGATAGCAACCCGTGCTTTCACAAAAGAATTGCCATAAAATGTTGCTAAGATGGAAAGTGAGCTCTTTTTTAAAACTAATTCTGATCCTTTACAGGCAAAAGTTTCCTATAAGATAAGATGTGTGGCATAAGTTTTTATGGAGAGAATCTGTTATGGGAACAGCTTTTCATAAATCAGAGCAGTGCTCTTGAGAGCACACATCTCTACTTTCAGCTTTACCAGTAGTTCATTTTGAGGCACAGTTTTTTTATTATGGGTATCATATCTGCAGCCCACTGCAGTACTCAGTGTAAGTTGATTTTTGAGGGTCATGGTTTGGACATGAAATAGCCACTTCAGCTGACAAGGTGTGCTGAGTGCTCTGGCCTTAAAAAAAGTGGTACAGCCATTGCCTCGTTCCCCAAGATTTAGTACAAACCAGAACTAGTGAGTCTGCTTGTATTTCAGCTGGAATTATTTTTATTTATCTGATAGTCATTTGGGTTGAAGGCTTAATTGATATGCTTAAATCTCAAATTGAAAAAAAATCAAGCTGTTCATCTTTCATCCTAATAGTGTAAATGAAAAACATAAGAAAATGCGAAGTTTAAATTCAGCTTTTTTCAGAAAGTACTTACAGAGGTAATGATAAATAAATGAAATCTTTCAGCAGTTCAGGTTGTGATATCTGGTCTCATATGTTACCCATGAGCTTGTACAATAGGGAAACAAACTGTAGGCAATAATATTGACCAAAAAGGTTCATTTCAGCTTTAAGGCTGATACCAGCACTTGCTGTTTGAAGTTGCATGTTTAAATATGGAAAAAACATTCAAAGCAACATAGCCTCTCTCTTGGCTTCAGTAGAGTTTGGTTGGACTAACAAATAGGTGTGTTATAGAGAAAATTCTCTGTTCCAGAAATACTATATGACTCTACAAACTGTACAAAAGCAAGCATTGTTTTCCATTCATTGATCAATGAATGCAGTAAATTACAATGAAAAGATAATTATCTTTAAGTATCTTTCCTTCTCCCACAAAAAAAAATTGATGAACAATATTTATGTTCTTGTTTTGTTGTTATGACCAAGCTTGTGGAAATATTTGTGTATCTATCACATTATTGGAAGCTTGCTTTTGTATGTGATCCAATTTTGGGGAAGGAGTTTTGAGAAGTCCTCCTGACTTTTCATTTTCAATTTTCCTTTAAAGTCACACGTGGTACCATGCCCACTTTGAAATGCTGTGGTACAAAAATTCTGTAGTGCAGATGGAAATCTGTTCAATTTGAAATATGCTTGCATTTTGATAAGTTCAATCATTCCTTTAAGTAGCTTAGGTATATTAATGTAATCCTCCTGTAAGAGATCTTTCTAAATGCTAAACTATTACGCAAATTTTTCTTTTTTAGTATATTTGTATCTAAACTGAATTACTTCTTCTTAACTTAGACTTGATTTTATAATGAGATTTATTTGCATGAACAAAATAGAAAATATTAACTATGGGGGTTTTGTTTGACTTATTTTAGTGAAAGGAGTTGCCTCACATAAATGAATTTGGCACATCTTACTGATCCTACATCCTTCTGTTAAAAGATCCTAGTATAAGAACTGGTGCATATAAGGAAGAAAAAAATAACTAGTGTATCCTGGCTTTTGCCTCATCAGAAATATGAGAGAAAACTCCTGCTCCTTCCAGACACAGACACATCTAAATAAGGGATGATTGTAATCCAAACCCTCAGCGAGCAAAGGATTGCAACTTTTTGAGTGACACAAAACAGTGCTAAAAATGTAGACATACCTGACTACTGAATTACAATGGCTGAAATGGGTGAGGTTGTATAGGATGTAGCAGTTTACTTTAGCTTCTTTCTTTATTGTGCCCCAATGATCTTCCTTCATCCCATAAAAAGAATGTCAGCCTTAGTTTTCTTATGACATGAAGTTTAATATATGCAGAAATCAAAATTTTCTGAGTTTTTTTCCCATATGGTAGCAGTTAATAAGGTGAATAATTGCTGCCAATTATCAGCTCCTGAGATGTAGATGGTCTTTGTAATGCTAAATAGAATATATTGAAGTAATGACCTGTTTTAAATCATAAGTTTCAGCAATGATGTTTCTGTGAAATGGCTTTTTATGGGTCTTATTTATGAAAGTGTAGACAGGTGCATGTAGTGGGCAGGGGCTGACATAGAAGAAACTGCAATCAAAGGTTATAGGATGCTTTTTTATGTGGAGTGGCTATAATACAATCTTTATTTTTGTAATAAACATATGCTGCATTCCAAAGATGAAAAATATTTTGTTTTATGTTTTATCTCTTAATGAGAAGACAAGAGGTGAAAGGCAAAAATTGATGGGGGGAAGCATAGTCCTAAAATA